GTGCATAGTTTTGCAAAGTTATTTTAGAGGAAAAGGAAAACTTGTAGACTTGATTCTGCTAAAGCAGTATTTAGTGTAAAATAACCCAAATTCATGCTTGCCATTCAGGCAGAAAGTGGTTAGATTAATAGTTCCGCAGATGCTTCCTGACGGCTAAATAACTTATTACACATTGCCACTCATGTAGCTTGATCATGACTAGAAAGGGTAGGCAGGATAACATACATCTTCATTTTTATTCCTTTTCTTAAAGATGGACGTGATTAATACGGAAATATTATAGATAGATTGATGCAACAACAGCTTCTGTAACAAAAGCATGTTATGAAATATAATTAGTTGTTGGCACCAGGTACCAACAATGTCAGTAGATGCTAGAAACAGACAATTTAACAACGGCAACAATTTTTATTATCCTACTTTGCATTTGATATTTTAGAACTGTATAAAGATCCTCACTTCATGAACAATATATTTAGATAGTATTAGGAGATACTTCACATCATTTTACATTTTCATTCATAAACTGCTACATGATGTATGATGAGATGCTCTAAAGTAATTGTGTCGTTATTGTTGTTATGGAACAATGGAAATTTGTTAGGAAAACAGGCTGCTGTCTGGACTTGCTTGTACTTGTAAACGAGAGAAAGAAGCGAGCGGAGCTGTTGGAAAAGCCCATTGTGGGAGCAGACAACCTTCGCAGGCGACGTGCGTGGCTCAGTCATCTCCTCCACAGAGCTTTAAGAGTGCGGCTTCGTAGTCTCCAGAAGTGTCCGACTGCAATGCCCAGGAAGGAGAGAAGGACAAGGTGCAGCATGAATAATGAGGGGACCGTAAAGGAACCAAGTCTCATAGCACTGGGGGATTCACTGGGGTGCGAGATTCGTGACCTGTACCATTTAGTAAAATGCACCTGTAATTCTATCTTCCATTCATACCTGAGTGTAGTTATTTTTCAGCCTAGCATCTTTTTCACAATATTGTTTAAACTCTTCCTGATAGAATTCAATTACATTTCAATTTGGGTTTAATAAAATATTTTTCATCAATTATGCAATGTTACATAATATTAAGTTTTAAGCAAAACTTTAAAAATTACAGGCAGTCTTTGGGTTACATCGGACTTAATGTACATTATTTTGTGGTTACGACGCCATCTCCCATTTATTTATTAAAAAAATAAAAGTTCCATCATTTTGACATATGTACACATGTACTTTATGCTTTTTATTATTTATTTGCCACAAGTAAAGGTCAGGAATTGTTATTTTTCTTTTCCTTTTTTTTTTTTTTTTTACTGTCTCACTTCATTACTGCTGTGTATGTGCTCCATGTGAGTGACGTAGGTGCTTATGGAGGTGGGTTCCGGATCTCTGATATAACCCGAGGACCTTCTGTATAGTTTTAGTAATATATATTATTTACCAAATGCTTAGTAAATAAATAATTACCAATCACTTTAACCCTTAGGAGAACTCTAAGCAATAGGTTCATACGTATCTCCATTTAACACATCAGTAAGATGAGAAAAAGAGAGGCTAGAAACTTTGTGCCAAATCATATCATGAGCGACAGAAGCAGAATCTGAACCCCGATCTCCTGGCTCCTTAACACTATATACTTAAGAAAGTAAAATGAACTACAACTCCAAAGAGTATATTTCTGATTTCCTTTCCCCTAGACTAGCCAAAAAAATCTCGACTCAGAAAACATACTATATGAGATTGAAGCTTAAAATACTAAGATGCAATGTTTACTATGCAAAGGAGGTAAAAAATGTTTGCACAGCATTGGAGGCAAAACTTGTCTTTGAACCTAAATTGCACAAAAACCTCACATTATTCTTATTTTATTCAAGGCAACTCAAATGATGAGCATTTGTTATCATTTAAGTTTCACATTGGAGTGAATATTAAGTAGTAGTTAATGCAAAAGAAGCAATGAAGAAAGGCTATTTAGAAAAGAAGTTAAGCATTATTTTCATAAGACACAACATACATCCTTTTTTTAATAGTTTTTAGTTCTTCCCTTATTGATTTTCTTAAATCTTCCTCTGCCATAGGTAATAATTTCTCAAACTGCTGACAAGTCAATAGTGCTCTAGTTTTGCATTAAAACAACTCCCTCTAATCACAAAGTGGTAAGAATTATTAGGGGTTCTATCAGTTAGTTGAGAAAATACATCCAAGTAGCTTAGCACACAGATATCTTCTGGTGGGGAGTGATTAACAGGGAACTTACATGCATATATGGACACAGACAATAGAGTGGTGAAGGCCTGAGAGGGATGGATATGGGGTGGAGGACGTCAATAGGAAAAACAAACAAAGGGGACATCTGTAATACTCTCAACAATAAGGGGGGAGGAGGGGGGAGCAGAAAAAACCCCTGAAAGAACAGATTTTAAAGAGTAATATGATCCCTGTACTATCAACTAAACATCTCTGATATATTTGAGAAGCATTGAAAAATATCTGCTGCTCAACTGAATTCCATCTGCTTGCTTATATTTTTTATATTTCTTCCCTTTGGACAACAATCAAGGATGCTACATGTTTCAGAGGGTGCTGCTATAAAACAGGGGAGCCTTGGTATAGTTGAGATATTAAGTAAAATTATGCAAACTATATAGTCCTGTCTTTGTAAGTATACAATGAAATACTGAGATATGGGATTAAAAAAACAACAACAACTTGCTGAAACCGGTTTGGCTCAGTGAATAGAGCATCAGCCTGTGGACTGGAAGGTCCCGGGTTCGATTCCGGTCAAGGGCATGTACCTTGTTGCGGGCACATCCCCAGTAGGGGGTGTGCAAGAGGCAGCTGATTGATGATTCTCTCTCATCGATGTTTCTAACTCACTATCCCTCTCTCTTCCTCTCAATAAAATATAGTTAAAACAAAACAAAACAAAACAAAAAAACCTTTCTGATCCACCGTAGACACTAAACAAATACTCATCCTTTATTCCTATCTCTATTCCCTATGTCTTCTAGTAAAATAGCTATTCTATTTATATGGTATTTTAGAAATTTTATCACACAAAAAATTTATACTAATTTGGAATTAGTGTAATTTTAAAACCTTTGGACATAATTCATGCTTTCCTAATTAGGCCATATTAATTGTTCTTAAGAAACTAATTGTCCTAGCCAGTTTGGCTCAGTGGATAGAGTGTTGGCCTACAGACTGAAGGGTCCCTGGTTCGATTTTGGTCAAGGGCACATGCCCAGGGTCAATCCACAGTAGGGAGCATGCAGGAGCCAGCCAATCAATGATGTCTCTCTTTTTCCCTCTTCATTTCCTTTATGAAATCAAATTTTATAACTAAATGTTTTAAATAACATTGATTTATTTAGATAAATAACTAAATGTTTCTGTTGGCCTGTTTTTAACAGAAGTCCTCTCTTCTCCCAACTTTGATTACATCTTTTACCCTTTACATTTAATCTGGCTTCCCAATTAAATCCTGTGGTGTTTCTTAAGTTACTCTTTTTTTCCATCCTGACTACAACAAACCTACTCTGGGCTCTCATCTCTTGTCACTAGTTTCTTTGGTTCTAAATGTGTGAATCATTTAGAGCCAAAGAAACCACAAGTTGTCCTTCTTCTGCTTTGTAAAGCTAGTCCAGTCACCGCCATATGCACAGCAGGGAGCCCTGTAAGGAGCCCAGGCTTTCCCTTCCTCCTTTTTGGCAGCTCCACCTTTGTCTTCTTTGATCCAGCCACCCATTATTAGTAATGCTTAAATCTGTTCTCAGCTTTCTTCTCTTCTCAATCTGTTATTTTCTTTTTTTAAATATATTTTATTGATTTTTTTACAGAGAGGAAGGGAGAGGGATAGAGAGCCAGAAGCATTGATGAGAGAGAAACATCAATCAGCTGCCGCTTGATAACATAATTGACCCTGAAAATATATCTTATATTAGCTTATATTATATTAGCTTACTGCTTGTCATCTCCATTTACAGCTCAAAGACATTTCAAATTCAGCATGTGTAAAACCAAACCCCTGAACTTTCTCCTCCACTCCCAGGAACAAACAAATAAACAAACAAACAAACAAACAAACACCAACAGAAAAACCGGACACCTTCATTTTAACTCCTATATGTCTCTGAAGTTTTTGTTCTTTCTTCTCTTTGCATTGCCAATAGCTTTGCTTACTACTTTGCACTACCAGGTCATAGCTACTCTCATATGTCCAGTATAATAACTTATCCCTCCAAATCTCTTCTATCTTCTGTCCAATTCATCCTCCACAGTCTTGGGGATCTTTTTTCTTTCCTTTCTTTCTTTCTTTCTTTCTTTCTTTCTTTCTTTCTTTCTTTCTTTCTTTCTTTTTTTTAAAAGATATATTTTATTGATTTTTTACAGAGCAGAAGAGAGAGGGATAGATAGCTAGAAACATCTATGAGAGAGAAACATTGACCAGCTCCCTCTTGAACACTCCCAATTACATGCCCTTGACCGGAATTGAACCTGGGACCTTTCAGTCGCAGACCGACGCTCTATCCATGAGCCAAACCGGTTTTGGCTCAGGGATCTTTTCAAAGTGTACTTCTAATTATGACATTATGTGTTAAAATGAAAATTCTTCAGTGGCTTCCCAAAACCTTTAAAGATTGTCAAAAAGATCCCCTATGACTTGGTCCCTCAGCCTCATTTTTAATTGTTTTTCCTCCAACATTAGGGGTTTTCACTTGTGACTCCTTTTGTTAGAATGCTCTGCTTTCTCCCAACACACACAACCTCTGCCTTTCAGATATGAAGCAAACCTTCTTATAGGTCAAATCCTCTTATTATATGGTCTCATATCACAATATTCCTTTCCTTTCCATTTAGCATAGTTGTATAAACAAATTTAACATTTACTTCTAATTCCATAAGGACAGGAAACTTTTTTCCTTTGCCTATAATTGTAATCCAGAGCTTGGCACATAATTCTCATTCAGAAAATATTTCTTTTTTTTTTTTTTTTTTTTTTTTTTCCCCCCCCCGTGTCTGAAATTTCTATAACCTTGCTCTGGATGCAGCAGGGCAAGGCCTCAAACCGTTCCAAGATGTTCTTGCAAGCACTGTAGGAATGCACAGGGTCACCGCAGTCATTCAGAAAATATTTCTAATTGAATAAATGAAATGCAAATTCCATGATCTCAGAGCTCTCTTTCAACTGAATTCATCTTGCTATTTGGATTTTACTTTTCAATACTCCCCAAAGTAGACCTCCTAATAACTCAAGTGACTTATTCCTTATTTCCCTCAAACTTCTCACCATACATGTTTCTAGAGCATTCACTTGTGAGACCCCACTGACCAGCATACCTCCTGACTCCTAGGAGGCAATCAACACATGCTTATTAGCCTGAAAGATAGGGTCAAACCCATTTCCCTATCTAATCTCAAACTTGTTTTACTCTCAATTCCTATATTACTCTCCTCTCTACAATCAAGTATTTAATTGTATGTTGTTTCATATTATTATCTTTTCATTATTTTATTTATGCCCACCTCACTTCACACAGATTATAAATTGAAGGTGACTACTATGCTTTCCCTTAAAGAGCCTGGACTTGGGCTATTTGTTAAATATGTACTTAATCTGTTGATCAAGGACATCTACCAAAAATGCAATTCCACCCAAATATGCTCTTAATTTTTTATTATTAATGAATAAGAGACACACATTTTTTTTTTAACCTACGTTGTCTTTCTCTCCTTCTCCCCACCAATCAGCACATGAGAAGGGTGTTAATGAGCAGAAAAATGTCTAAATAATAGGCAGAAGGAAGAGGAAAACAGAACTAAAGGCCAGGCTGATATTGTAGGTTCAGAATGAGTCATCCCAAAATGTGCCTCTGTGGGAAGCAAATTATTTTAAACTAAAGGTGACAGAGAAACTTCTGTCCTCCCCCCTTAATTACCGAGAAGAATTTGAATTGGGGGTTTTGCCCATAATGAGAGATTATCAGAGATAACCTTTCTGACCTATCTATAAAGCAGAGCAAACTAGAAATTATTGAACTCTGTTCTTATCATCTTGCAGTGACCCTCTGAACTTCTTGGCATCTCAACTCATATATGACCAAGAGGTAGTCAGATATAGCTCATTTTACCTTTCTATCCCTCAGCCTCTCCTGTATGTGAGGTTTCTTACTCTCTCAGTGGAGTTCCCATGCACACATATGCAGTTAAATTTGGTTATTTTCTCTTATTAATATGTCCCATGTAGATTTAATGATTAGACCAGGTGAAACTTTCTTCCTCCCTGACAATATACAAAATGAAATTCTAGCTTCTGAATGACAGAAATGGAATCATCTGACATGATCTTATTCATTAGTAGTGAAAATGTAATGATATCGCCTAATAATGTACTTTCAGGTGATAGAAATGAAGACACCTTATATAATTTTAAATTGCAAACTGAACTCTTCAGCAATGAATTATTTCTATCAAGATACCCATAGTTTAAATGTTTCCTAATATAATCAGCCTCAATTACCCAGACCACTGCGGGAGGGAGAGCTACGGCTTAACTTAATTTTCCGGTTTGCTGAGGGTGAACAGAGAGCCCTCTTTATGTTTCAATCTTATTACTGACAACCTTTATAAAAGTTATGCGTCTACTTTTCTGTCTTAGTAAGAACAATATGGTTAACATTATTGAATCTTCCTGTTGATTGAAAAGATTGTAATGTGTCAGGATCGATTCAAATTGCATTGAGTGTGAGCAGCTGATGAAATCTGTGCTAAGCCCCAGGCACAATCTGAGAGTTGCCTTTTTGAGTAAGTTTCCGATTTCAAATTAGGCATGGGTCTCTTTCTGCAAAGGTTTAGTAAAAAGCAAAAGCTCTAGCTGGAACAAAAAATAGGGTAGGGAGTTTAAGACTCCAGTTGACTGAGTGATGTTCATTTATGCATCCTCCGTAAAACCATTTGTGGAGCCTGAGGACAGAGAGTTCTCAGGATGCTGCCCGAAGGTGGTCGAGGGAAGCTTGGCTGGGCAGGGCCACTTCAAAGGCTGGGCCGTGGGCGGACAGAATGGAGGAGTCCTTGGGGGGCAACTGGATGTCATCTCCTGCGTGGCATGGAACTCCAGCCTTGAAGAGAGGCTTGAGGGAGGTTGTCCCAGGATCAGAATCCACAGGGCTCATAAAATAATTCTATAGCTGGTCCCCAGATGTCTGAACAGCTCAGAGTCCACACCCGACTCTAGACTACCAGTACTCAGAGCAAATTATGTCCTTCTCTCAGACTAGGTTTGTTTTCTGGGTGCCACCTCCGAGCTTGGGCCTCAGTGACCCTTCACTGATCGAGATCCATTTATCTTTATGTCTGAGCTAATGATTGCCAAAGCTGATTTTTCCAGACAGCTGTTAGGTGGAGGAAGCTGAGGCACAGAGAGACCTGGAGGACGTCTGTGAAGCCAGCCCTGAGCTCCATCTTTGCACCAGCCAGTGACCCTGGAGGTTGGGACAATGTGATGGCCTTTTCTTCAACCTGGGCTCCCATTTTGTTCAGGAACCCAGCGTGGACCACCCCTCTCTACCACTCATGCCTGCATGCTATCTTGGAAGCTGACATAGAGAACAATCTTCAATGGCCCTTTGATCATCGTTTCCAAGTTGGTCATATTCTTTTTTTTTTTTTTTACATTTACCATCATTTTTGTTTTTTTAAAAAAAATATTTTATTGATTTTTTACAGAGAGGAAGGGAGAGGGATAGAAAGTCAAAAACATCGATGAGAGAGAAACATCGATCAGCTGCCTCCTGATCAGCGAAGTTGTCATATTCTTATTGGGACTGTGGCTTTACCATTAGCTCCATGTATGGAAGCCTCTTACACAATTTTTGAAGGTCTTACTTCCTTATAATTTGTCATTTATTTGGGGTTTGTCTACATATATAATATCAACTAAGATCTTGAGGACAATGGAAACTGGTTTCATTCTTTAAAACGGAAAGGAAGTTGTGTAACATATTTTAGGATTCTCATCCAGAATGATAGGCTGTAAGGAATTACTTTTTCTTTTAAATCAAGAAACTATAAAACATTGATGAATTCTATTTGGTGCCAAACAATATGAAAAAAACAACTTCAGTCATGTCAATAAAAAACCAACAAACTTGGGGAAATATTTATAATTCATAGACAAAGCCATTCACCAATCTAACATACATAAAAAGAGATCTTAGAAATTGACACTCCCCTCAAAAAATTAAAACCCAAATTTCAATAGAATAATGGGCAAGTAACATGAAAAATTACCAGAAGGGAAATTCAAATGGCATTTAAAACATGAAAACATGTTCAGCTTTCTTCATATTAAGAAAAAGATAAACTGAGATGCAATTTCTCACCTATCAGATTTTATAAACCCAAAGTTTGAAAACACCCTCTGTGCCAAAGCTGTCGAGAAATAAGGACTCATATATTCTTCATGGAAGTATGGATGGAAGTCAACTGGTAATGTTTACCAAAATTACAAATATATTCACATGTGTCTCAGCAATCCTACACACTTTTGAGAATTTATCTCAGGAAAAAACTGCTCAAATTTATCCCACAGATACACTTGTACCTTAGGAAACTGTATGCATATGGCAGCATTGTTCGCATTAGCAAGAAACTGGAAACATCAGTTGATGTGGTGGGTATAAATAAACAAGTTATAGAATGATACACAGCTTTTAAAAGACTGAGAAAGCTTCCAATATACGGCAATGGAAAGAACTCCAAGGTGCAGAACCATGCTATCTTTTGTGTGAAATAGAGAGAAAATTTAAATTATGTAGTTTTCTTTCCTGTCATTTTCATAAAGAAACACTAAAATAAATAAAATATAAAAAAAATAGGTAAACAATTTGCATATGCGATTCAAAAAAGAAGAAAAATTAGTGGCCACTAAACAGAAAAAACAAAACAAAAAAAAGTGGGTATCTATCATGTGGCTGAGATTCTAGAGCCGAAAACAGTTTCTGTGTTTAAGGGCTGTTTTGCTACCACTACACATTGACACACCGACAAAGAGAGAGAAGTCTAAGTCACATATATCTACGATCTAAGCATTATAAGGGAAAGAGAATAGGGAGAGAAAGGCAAAATGTATTTTGTTACTTTTAAGAAGAGACTTACTTTAATTGCTGAATATAGAGAATAGCCACAACGCTTCTTAAACTCTGCTCGAATGTCCAAAAGGTCAATTTCTGATCTTGAGACCATTATTCGGTTCAGAGTAAACTCGTCGGTTCCAGCACCCTGGTAAGAGAGGTAGACATCCACAGCACAAATCAGCCACAAAACAGCATATAGATCTACATTTATAAGGAACAGATAACGGTGCACAAAATAGTCCACCGTGGTGACTCTCCTTCCTCGTTTAGCATCAACTCTCATTATTCATTTGTTTAAGAAATATTTATCGACAGCTTACTTTGTGCCAGTACCATGCCCCATGCTGAAAACAGAGATGGGACACTTCCAATTTTGCGAAGGAAACAGGTAGGAAAACAGGCCATGTAATATAATGTGACATATAAGAAATATTGGGTACTAAAGGCACACATATGAGGGGAGCCTAAAATATAATAGATTAAGGATTAGAAAAAGTCTGTCTGAGAAAGTGGTATTTAAGCTAAGGCCTAAATAACCAGACAGGAGAAGGGATGAGGTTGCCAGAAAGAGGGAAAAAGACATTCCAATGGAGAAAACAGCAGTTGTGAAGGGTTAGGGCAAGAAGGAATGCCACACTCAAGGACACATAATGAAGAGGAACAGCAAGAGAGGTGAATGGAAAGGCAGGACCTCATAAGCCACGACATGAAGTTCTGACTTTATCCCAAGAGTGAGGAACTACTGCAGTCCTTTCAACAGGAGAGCTCCGAGATCGGAGCAGAGCTGCGCCTTCCGAAGATGGCTCTGGCAGCAATGTGAGGAATGGAGTGCGGGGCAGGAGGAGGATGAAGATAAGAGAATGAGCCTGGATGCTTTGGCACTAACATACAAGAGAGAAGTGGATGGCCTGACCTAGAAAAATGGCAGTGCGATGGAGAAAATGGGTCTATTTAAGAGCTGCTTATAAGGCAGATGACAAAACGGGATGTATCATATGCATAGAAT